CCCCATCCCGATCCCCCTTGGACTTCCCTCTCCCCTATCTCCTATCCCGACCTCCTCCCGATCCCCCTCGGACTTCCCTATCTCCTATCCCGACCTCCTTGCCCCCATCGCCCCATCCCGAATTTGTGGTCGACCCCGACCTCCGGACCGCCCCCATCCCCCATCCCGACCTCGATGCAGATTTCCCCACATGCCGACCTCGTTGCCCCCATCCTCCCATCTCGACCTCGATGCCGAATTCCCCCTCCCCCATCCCGATCCCCGCCCCCCCGCTCCTCCTCTCCCCCTTCCCCCATCTCGACTTCGCTCGTCGATCATTGCGACTTCATCGCCCTCGTCACTCTCGAAGAGGGTCTGGGCAATCGTGTGGATGGCCATGACTCCTGGTCCCCCCCCCCCATTCCCCCCATGCGATGCGTTGGGTTGCACCAGGCGGTCCACCGGCCTGGCAGGCCCCCGGTCCAACCCAACGCATCGCATGGGGGGGGTGGGGTGGGGGGACCGGGAGTCATGGCCATCCACACGATTGCCCAGACCCCAGGGGCCCACTGCCCCCTTAAAAGGAAAAAACGGGGCCTTTTGGACCCCACTTGTTGAAAACAATGGGCCGAAGATCTCTGCCGCTGATTTTTGCAGATCAGCAGCAGAGAACCACTGCATATTTTTTTTTACGATGAGGGTTCCAATTAGGCCGCTGTTCCTTATTTTAGCAATGTATGGTCCAACGGACCGAGGACCAGACATTATGGAATGGTCCTTATGCTTGTCCGCTTCGAGCCAGCATGATGTTTCAGCAGTGGCTTGCTGAGCTTATATGTTTCTTCGACGTCTCTGCGCTCTGAGCAAAAAGTTATGGGTTTGGGTTTTTGTGAAGCCAGAATAGACAGTGCTGTCCGAGATGCAAGCCCAAGAATGGACCTCGCTCCCCTACATGTATCTGGACAGACTTCCAGGCAAGATACTTTCGGACTGTTGAACCACGGCACATTGAAAGAAAACAAACAGAGAAAAAAAAAAATACAACGAAAAATAAGCAGAAACGCTCTGCCTGCACGAGCTGAAACCTGAACCCATAACTTTCTGCTGTCAGACACGATACTATGCAAGACTATAAGTTTGGGCAAGGATCTCCCATCAGCATTTCATATTCAGCCTCTTGGGTGTCGTGGCTCATATCTGCATATGAAGTCCATGACCCCCTATAGAGTTGAATTGAAATCGTTGGGCCATGTGGGGGTCAGATAAATAAGCTTTTTAGCGTGACCCCTCTACGTGAAAGCCATACCTCCCTGAACCCACCTCAATAATACCT